ACAATGATCGTGAGTGTGTAGATATCTCCATTAAGTGTTGTCTTTCATTCCTTCTGATATATGGTCAGGAACATCAGAGCAGGATTATATAGTAATTTTATTTTCACTTTTTGGAGGAACCTTCTCATTTCTATATTTGCTACACTATGTTTTTAAAATGTATCTTACGTGTAATTAAGACTGAAATGCTCAATATGCATACTTCTCCATTCCTATTACAGTTTTGCTGAACCCACAGAATGAAATATATCCTCAGACAGTAACACATTATTTTAAATATGCATACCTTTAGCATTGCATTGCTGAAGTACATAAAGACCAAGGTACAGATAACCTGATATACTTTACATTCCTGCCAACAGTTTATTAGGTTTACTTTTCCCACGGCTCAAAATCAATTGTTGTTGTTTTTTGTTAAATTTTTATTGTGAAAATACCGTACAGAGGGGTTACAATTACATGGGCAAGATAATGAGTACATTTCTTATCAAGCATTGTTGCCTCCTCCTTTGTTTCCCCGTTTGTGTTTTTGTGACAATAACCCTTGTATCTGGGCTCATATGGAATCTCAAGTTCATTTTCAATTGTATTTCTCTAATGGCTAAGAATGTTGAAAATATTTTCATGTACTACATGGCCATTGGTAGTCTTTTGAGAACTATTTAATTCATTGATCCATGGATCTGTTTTTGGTGTTTTATTTTTGAGATACTTACATAATCTTGCTAATCATTTGATTGAATACCTGGAGATGATGTCATTCTACAGGGTGTCTCTTCACTTAGGTAATTGTTTGCTTTGCTGTGCAGAATTGAATGCAATCCTATTTGACAATTCTAACATCCTGAGCCAATGGCGTCCTATTCAGGAAGTCCTGGGCTATATGTGCATCTCCAAGTGTTTCCCTATAGTTGCTTCTGTTTCAAGTTTCACATGGAGGCCTTTCACCCGTTCTGAGCTGACCCAAGGCTGCTCTTCAGCTCTCTCTCACATACCACTCTTGCTCTCACCACTGTCAATCACCCTGCTCCTTAGAAATGCTTGTCAGCAGACTTTTCCATCTGTCCTCATTCTGTATTTTATAGCACGTTATACTCTACCGGTCTGCTAACTTCCCTATACTTAGGAAAGGAGACTTTTATGCCTTCAACAAAAATTAAAAAATGTTTGATTTACATATAATTATATATAAATATATAAAATGATGTTTTTTCATCTCTCTATATAGATCTATCTGCCTATCTATTTGTCTGTCTGTCTATAATTTCTTGCTTTAAACTCCCTGGGGGATTTTCTTCCAGCATTCTTAAAATGAAATGCACAGCATTATCACCTTCTAGTTCTTTTCAAATTAAAGCCACAGCTTCATTATGGCTTCCTGGCCCTCTTTTCTTAGGCTTCCTTCTACCTCTTTGTCTTCTCTCCACTTTCTTCTTCTCTCTGCTCCAGCAATATTGTCTCCTTGTCTGTCTTTAATACTTGAAGAGGATGCTCAGGGCCTTTGCCTTTTTGTGTTCTTTGTGTATGATTTGTATATGTATGTGATTCTGTATGTGTTTCCATATGTTGTATGCAATGACATGTTCATATGTATGCACATACAAAACAGTGTCTATCCATAGTAACATATTCATGGATTTTTGTGTTATTATCTTCCCCACTCTGCACTTTTATTGAAATGCCATGGGAACAAAGCTGCCTCCATCTTGCTGGTTATTGTAGGTCCAGTGATCTGAACATTATATGTTGACATATCTCCTGTGTACTTGAGGGAAGCGGTGAATGGATGAATGGAAGCATGCCTCAGTAGTTGGGGCACAATTGCTACAACAGAATCTCAGTGAATGACGTGTCCCCTCTCCCATTGGTCACGTCTGCCTCTCTACAATCAAGTGGTGAAGAATGGAGTCTTAGAGTGAGTTTTTTTTTTTAACAAAAATCTAGATGCTGATACTAAAAGAAAGAGGACAGGTTAGTGAACATGGGGAGAAGATATACTCACTGCATCTCTCTCTTTCCTTTCCACTGTTGTAAATGCCTGTACCCCAGTAATGAGTGGACTGGCTCCTCTCTTCCTTTCCATTGCCTTTTGCAAAAGGGGATTAGTTCGTATTTCAAATGATTACGTTGATTTCTTTTTTTTTCTTTGACTGTGCCATGATATTTTCCTTCAATCCTTCCTTGCTTATCTTCTCTCTTGAATAGGTTCCCCCAACCCAGACCCTCATGAACATGACTTCATGCTTTTAGTCATTTACATACAAAGGCATGCTGAAATATTTCCTCCCTAGTCAGAAATTGTGAAAGTAACTGTAATTTTTCAAATTAGTCACGTACTTCCGTTGGATATTTGTCGTATTTATTTATTCCTGAACAAAGTTTGGTGCCTGTTTGAGGAGTATTCCACAACTTCAGTTCGAAAACAGATTTTTACAAATAAGCTACCCAAGTTTTTCTGGCGGTGAAGTATGGGGGAAAGGAATTAAAAACAAATAATGAGGTTTAGAGAAGTTCCCCAAACACAGCTAAACAGAAATACCACAAGAATTGGAGGGCGCATCTGGAATCTTAGATTTGAGTTTTTATTTTTGTGTTAAGCTAGGCTTTTTCTCCAGTCTCCTGCTCTCTTTTGCTTTGTCTCACCCTGTGCTCTTCAGTGGGTGAGCTCTTATTCACTTCATCTGGCACTCACAAAATTCCAAATACTAACTGGATTGTGCATACCCATAGTTCTTTTAAAGCCTGACTTTTGCAATGTCTTTTCAAATGTTGTTAGGCCTCAGATGATTGTAAAAGTCTCAGAGACAGAGTTCTGAAAGGAGTTTTGTTGTTATTGCTGGTATTGTTGTTAATGTTCTGGAACAGCTTCATGCTAAGAATTCATCTTGAATGGAAGATTCAGAACTTTTATTACTTGGGAGAATCAATTTTACATTTGTCTCTATACAATCATTCAGGTAATTTTGTGCCGGGATTCTCGTTGTTTCACTATTTGAACTCAGGAAACCTAATAGAAAGAGATATTAAAAATACAAATAGGATAATTAATTAGATTTGTGGATTCTTTGGGAAACTAGGAATTGGCTAGAGAGCAACCTGCAAAGGAAGGGGGAAAGTCTTTCTTAATGTTTTCATTGTTAAACTTTTGTCCACAACATGCAAAATGATGGCAGTATTAAAATTCAAGAACTACTACTCAAGTAGTTTGTCGCAGAAGGGATTGAAGAAAGGATTCTGAAAGGGGTGGGTGAGAAAACCAAGGCCTCAACAATGCTCACTAAACATTTCGTTTTTCATAGCACAGAATTGTATGTGGGCCAGCTGATGTATTATCCATGATGCAGATTGTTGGAACCATATAACTATTACCTATGATGTATTTTGAGTCTAGAGGAATTATTCCAACACATTACCTATAGTTACTAGTTGTGTGTGTACGTGTGCATGTTTGCTTTACTTCTTAATATAGCCTCACTAGTCACAAATTTATTATCCTCGTACCTCAGACTCTCCAGTACTGGGATTATAAATGGGCACTAGCACACCCAACTTAATTATTCGGTCTTTTAAGTAAGACTAGGGAAGGCAGGTTGGACAACAAACTTTATATTGCAAATGTGCTATTTCTGATATTTGTGTGATCCTAAAGCAGAATTTCTAGTTCAATACTACCCTGTGCTTTTTATTAAGAATATCTTTCTTTGCATACTAGTCATGTTTTACCTCTAAAATTATTATAAAAGTTATTTTTATTTTAATAATAAAATTCCTGGTGTTCTATAAAAGCAAATTTAATTGCTTAAAGTTGATAGTATCATAGCTTATCATAATATCCTACTTAGATGAATTTTTTATTAAAATTATTTTTTACACTTTTAAGTCTTTTTTCTATGCTTAAGAGATCAAATGCAATGATCTTCATGAATACTATGATTTCATGGAGAATATTGCTTTAAAAAACTCACTCTGCCTAGCACAGGGAAAGCTCATGCTCATAGGGAATTTAAAACACTGATATTTAAAATAACACAATTTCTCATTCATGGAATTTGTATCTCCTAAAATAAAATGAGATTATAGTTCAATATAGTCTACCATTAGATTGTGCTCCTTTGGAAGGTTGAATCTGTGGTCCCACACATTGTCCCTACATCCTCGTAGTTCGCTTTGTCATGTATTACATACTAGATATCGGGGCATGTAGATGAATGTTAGCCAAGTTCTGAAAAAAAGCCATTTGTTCCCTACTAAAAAAAACAACAAAGATGTTCTAAAGTCTAAGATTGAGAGAGCATACATCTTTTCATAGAACCTTCTATAATGAGAAAAATGAGATTAGCATGTATCTGGACAAACTAACAAATATATATATAAATATCTATATATAATATATATAGATATCTACAAGATACAGGGTATCAAAAATGCTTTTCTTAAAGCAAAATATACTCTCTTATCAAAACCAAACATTGGCGAGTGCCATAGCTCACTAGTCCTAGCTCCTCAGGAGGCTGAGCTCTAAGGATTGCGGTTCAAAGCCAACCCGGGCAGGAAAGTGTGTGAGACTCTTACCTCCAATAAATCACCAGAAAACTGGAAAGGGCTCAAGTGGTAGAGCGCTAGCCTTGAGCTGAAGAGTGAGGGACAGGGCCCAGGCCCAGAGTTCAGGCCCCACGACCGACAAAGGGAAAAAAGGAAATAAAAGATAGAAAGGCCAATATTGCAACTCAGTTTACACACCTCTGACATAGGAACAGATCCACCTAGACTCACATAGACTCACATAGACGAAGGGCCCTGTGACTACCTCGGCTCAAGGCCCATCAGAGGAGGAGGACTTGGCTTCTCGGTGGTTTAGGGGAGACTTGGGAGGCCGGTCACTGGATAGGAAACTCTGGGTTGATTTTGGCACTTACGGGGTATGGCTGGCTCCGAGGAGTGCGGGTGGCCTTCGTTGTGCTGTTTCCGCGCTGAAGGCGTCCTTTCCTTCTCGTTGGCAG